CACTCCTAGGTCCCTGCTGCTGGATCAGATGGCTGAGAACAGTGCTTCTCCCTGTATCCAGCATTCCTTCTGAGATCTGGTTCTTCCATGGCTCAGAGCACTCTCCACTGGAGGGTCAGAAAGGAAGGGAAAAGAAAGGAACAAATGTTCTATAGGGCATCTGACAATAGGACATCTGACATAAATCAGGCCTGTCCCGAAATCTCTGCAGCTGCCTGAGTACTAAGAGGCTCTGAACCTCATGGAATAGAATTCATTTAAAAGCTAGGAATAGCAGAACTTGCTGGAGTGAGTTTGTAATTCCAGGACTACCCAGAAGGCTGAAGCAGGAGGATGTTTAGCTTGAGGCTAGCTATACAGTAAGACCTATCTTAAAAAACAGACAAATAGCCGTGCATGGTGGCACACGCCTGTAGTCCCAGCACTTGGGAGGCAGAGGCAGGCCAGCCTCTCTGTGAGTTCAAGGCCAGCCTGGTCTACATAGTGAGTTCCAGGACAGCTGGGGCTACAGGGAGACCCTGCTTCAAAATCAAAAAAAAAAAAAAAAAAAAAAAAAAAAAAAAAAAAAACCACCAAAATACCAGACAAATAACCTCCTCCCAAAGAAAACCCTGTAAGTGCTGCCCTTTGTAACTAGTACCCTCAGGCCAGCCTGATACCTTTCTAGTTCCTCAACTCTTATGGTCTCTGAAGCCTGAACCCTGGGTCACCCTTGACCAGGTTCTTTCATATCCCACACTTTATTAATCAGACAATGTCTGTCCCACCTTCAAAATAAATCTAGAACCTGAGTACCTCTCCCCACTGTATTGCCTTCCCCTGGAGTCAAGGCCTTGGGCCTCATGTGTCCCTAATGTTTCCAATGCCCCGTCTATTTTTGATGCAGCAGCCAGAGTGATTAAAAACAAAACAAAATAAACAACAACAACAACAAAGAGCTTTATTGAGATATAATTCATCCATGTAACATATAAAACAATGGTTTTCAGTATAGTCATAGATTTGCATGATATCTTCATAATCAGTTTTGGCGATGGTAATGGTAGGTAGGCTCAGTAGGTAAAGGCATTTGCCATGAAGCCTGCTGACCTAAGTTCGATCCCAGGACCCACATAGTGGAGGAGAGAATTCCTGCAGGCTATCTTCTGGCCTCCACATATGTACTATGGCACACACATGGTCTACATAGTGAGTTCCAAGACAGCTGGGGCTACAGGGAGACCCTGTCTCAAAAAGACAAAAAAAAAAAAAATTAAAAACAATTTTGAGCCAGGCATGGTGGCGCATGCCTTTAATCCCAGCACTCAGGAGGCAGAGGCAGGTGGATCTCTGTGAGTTCAAGGCCAGCCTGGTCTACATAGTGAGTTCCAGGACAGCTGGAGACCCTATCTCAAAAAGATCAAAAAAAAAAAAAATTTGATCACCCCCCAAAAACTCATACTCATTAGCACTCCTGTCCAAGCCCCTGGGACTTGGAAAACAGTGCCAATGTTTTCTTTTTTTTTTTTTCAATTTTATTTTTATTTTAGGTGTATAAGTGTTTTGTCTGTATGTGTAAGTGCACCTGTGCATGAAATGCCTGCAGAGGCAGGAAGAGGGAGTCAGATCCCCTGGAACTGGAGTTATGGATGGCCGTGAACCTAACCCCAGTCCTCTTCGAGAGCAGCCAATGCTCTTACTGACTGAGCCATCACTTCAGCCCTGCTTGTTTGTGTTTGAGACAGGGCCTCATGTAGTCCAGGCTGGCCTCCACCTCACTATATAGTTGAGAATGTTCTGCCACAACACATGACTCAGCCAGTAAGTGCTTTAAATACTAAGTCAGATGATATTTCTGCTCAGAACCTAGAATCCCTTAGGATGTATCTTTTCATTCACAATGAAAACCTGCAAGGCCCTAGAGTCTTCTCTGGCCTCACTACCTAACTATTTTATGTGTATATTGCTTGCATGTATGTAAGTGCACCCATGTCTATGGAAGACAGAAGAGGCTGTCAGATACTGGAGTTACTGGACAGTTTGTTAGCCACCATGTGGGTGCTGGGATTCAAACCTGGGTCTTCTGCAAGAATATCCTGTGTTCATTGCTGAGCCATCTCTCCAGCTCCTCCCACTCATCTTTTTAAACCCTACCTTTGTTTCTCTCTAGGCACCAACTCTCTAGGACAGCTATTGCCTCAGGGCCTTTGCACTGGCTGTTGTCCTAAGAAAACTTTTCCCTTAGATATCTGATGTCTTAAGTCTGTACTAAAATATTCCCTTCTTTAAGAGCCTCTTTCTAGCTATCCCATCCCAAACTCCCTCTTTTCCTCTCTTCCTTTCTTCCCCCATCCTTAGCATAAGCCACCACCTCATATACTATGCATTTTACAGATTTATTGTGTTCATGGTCTGGCTTCCCTGTTTCACATTTATATACAAGCTCCTTGGGGATAGTTGTTTTAGTACTACCAAAGACAGAGATCAAGGAACTCAAAGCAGAATCCTGGGGCTAGGGTTGTAGCTCAGTGGTAGAGTATATGTCAGGCTCTGGGTCAACTCCCCAGTACCGAGGAAAACTCCTGGCATCTACTCTTTAGGCAATGAGGACCTCCTACCCATAGATCCAGTTCTTAGGATATAGCTTTCTCTCTTCCCTCTCTTTTTCATTCCTTGGTCTAGAATTCTAGTCTTTCTTCCCCTAGGATACTCCCCTCCCCCTTGGTAGACTTGTTCTTCCTCCTTTCCCCTAACAAGCCCCTGGAGAACTTCAAGATAGTCTTGGTGGCAGGCTATTGAAAGGATAGTCAGCCCCACCCAGATCCTCCAGGAATAATGCTCACTTACTGTGCATGCTAATGTGTGCTAGGCCTGGTAGAGAGTGATTGAGAACAGCAATGGAAGGGGTCTCTGTCTTTTCTGACCAATATGATCACTGCTTGCCCACATGAGGTTATTAAGCATTTGAAATGTGGCTAATATGACTGAGAAACAAATTTCAAATTTGATTTAAGTTCAATTAATGAAAATTTAAATAGCCATATGTGGCCAGGGGCCTCCAATTGAGTAACGGGTAAGCACAGTATTGTATTTCATTGTTATTATGCTGGGGAGGAGGATTATAATGCCCATTTTACAGATGGAGAGTGATTAATCACTATGAGAATCCAGGCATTAGATTCTAGAATTTTCTAGAATTTCTGAGTGGCTGCTTCAGGGATTGGGGTAGGGTTTATGTAGATGAGAAGGGCAGAAAATAATATTGCTTTTTTTTTAGACAGGGTTATTCTTTGTAAATTCAGGTTGGCCTTGAACTTTCAGTAATTCTCCTGGCTCTACACCCTAAGTGCTAGGATTACAGGACTGTGTGTCACCATGCTTGGCTCATTCCCTATTTTTTTTTTTTTTTTTTTTTTGAGACAGGATCTCCTTGTAGCCCCAGCTGGCCTAGAACTCATTATATAGACCAGGCTGGCCTTGAACTCACAGCAATCTGCCTGCCTCTGCCTCCCGAGTGCTGGGACTAAAGGCGTGCACCACTACACCCGGTTTTTTTTTTTGGTCTTTTTGAGACAGGGTCTCCCCCTGTAGCCCCAGCTGTCCTGGAACTCATTATGTAGACCAGGCTGGCCTTGAACTCACAGAAATCCAGCTGCCTAAATCTCCTGGGATTAAAGGCATGCACCACCACACCCGGCCCTTTTTTTTTTTTTTTTTTTTTTTTTAAATGAGACAGACTCTCTTTGTAGCCCCAGCTGCCAGGAATTTGCTATGTAGACCAGCCTACCCTTGTTCTCACAGAGATCCACCCGCCACTGACTCTGAAGTGCTGAGATTAAAAATGTGTGAGATTAAAAGAAGACTTGGGTCTTCTGGAAGGCAAAACATTCATGTGTATAAAATAAAATAAAATATAGCTGGGTGTGGTGGTGCATGCCTTTAGTCCCAGCACTCAGGAGGCAGAGGCAGGTGGATCTCTTGAGAATTCAAGGCCAGCCTGGTCTATATAGTGAGTTCCAGGTGAACTGGGGCTACAGGGAGACCTTGTCTCAAAGACCAAAAAAAGAAAAGAAAAAGAAAAAAAGAAGAAAGAAAGAAAGAAAGGGAGGGAGGGTGGGAGAAAGGAAGGAAGGAAAGAAAGAAAAAGAAAGGAAGAAAAAATTTAAAGAGTTTTTTAAAAAGTGAGGGGCTGGAGAGACGGCTCAAGGGCTAAGAGCACTTGCTGTTCTTAAGCCATGTGGGTGCTGGGAACAGAACCCCAGTTGAGACCAGCTCCTGCTTTCGCTGACTGCTCTGCTCCAGTCCATAGCCCTTTGGTTCACACTGTGCTGCTCCACAGCCTGACACTGATGCTTTTAGTGTCCAGGTGCCCTTTACCTCTGCAGATCGTAATTCAAATACCACGACTCCTTTGACCTCTAGCTAAAATGGCAGGCTCCTGCCTCATGCTTTGTCACCTTTCTATGACCTTGGGAGTGGGTGTACTTTCTTCCTTCTAGTATGAAATTTAATTATGTCTCTCTCCCCAGCTAGAATAACGTTTCCTGTAGGCAAGGATCTTTGAATCCTTCGCTTCAAACAGTGGCCAGAGTAGAATGTAGGATATCAATGCAAATATGTTGTAAGGATTGGGTATAGCTCAGTGGTGGCACATTTGCCTGCCATGCACAAGGCTCAGGAACAAACCTGCCCATGAACTCTTGCCTATACGGCAGGAGGGCTCATGGCTCAGATTCTAACCTGGGCCTTTTTGCTTCCACAGTTGTGCTTCTTTCCCTCAAAGCTGCTTTCTCTGTTGCAGCTCTCCGATCCCACATTCTTCACAAAAGTTAAGCCAAGTAATGGGGGCATGGTGGTGCACGCCTTTAATATCAGCACTTGGGAGGCAGAGGCAGGCAGATCTTCATGAGTTCGAGGCCAACCTGGTCTACATAGCAAGTTCCAGAACAGCTGGGGCTACAGGGAGACCCTGTGTCAAAAAGACAAAAATAAATAAATAAAATTAACTGTACTCACCTTCTTGTATATCTCCCGGTTCATCTAGAATAGTCAGCAACAGGTCCTTAGGGCTCTGGACACCATCTTTCCAACATCCCTTCTTTACTCTTACCCTTTTCCCCATCTCCTCCAGTTCAAGGCCACTTGTTGAGTCAAAACAGAAGACCAGCTCTCTCAGGAATACTAAACCAGGTCAGGAAAGAAAAGCTGGTCTCAGAAACTTCTAGGGGTGGGATGGGAAGGAGAGGTTGGAACTTTAGCCAGTCCTGCCTCTGCACTATTCAAAGCTGAGTGGTCCAGAGAACTTGGTTAACATCTCTGAGCCTCAGCCTTCTGCTCTACTAAATGGGGCTAAGGATAGCTGGCCTGCTGTACTGTGCAAGTTAGAGATGGCTGGTAGGAAGTTCCTTGCTTTCTCATAGGCACCTTCATCAGGACCAGAGCAAAAGTTTCCTCACGGGCTTCCTCACTCAAACCCAACCTCTACACCCCACCACAATTAAAAAACCAAACAGGATCTCAGGTAGCCCAGGTTGGCCTCAACCTTACTAGGTAGCCAAGGCTGTCCTTGAATTTCTGATCTTCCTGCCTCCACCTCCCAAGTACTGGGATTGCAAGCAAGCACTCCTGCCTGGCCAGAATTTTTTTCTAAAACTCAGTTCGTTGCAAAAATTCCTCCATAGTTTGCCACTGTCTCCCAGGATGCAGCAAGCATGCTAGTTAAGAGCTCAGAGCCCAGGCTATGGGGTCAGGCCTGGGTTTGAAGTTTATCTCTTGGGCCAAGTTCCTTAATTTCATTGAAGCTTAGATGACTCAACTGAACAAGGGGACGACAGTACCTGCTTCAAGTGGTTATTGCAATACAGAAGCAAGGCAGTCAGCACAAAACCTTTGCCACATGGGAGATGCAAGCTAGATTATTATAACAGAGCAAAGCCCAGGTTCCTAAGTACGCCATGCCAAGCAGAGCTGTTCATAGGAATCAAACAATAGGAAGAACTGTGTGAATGAAGTACTGGGCATGCCCTTCTGACCTTGGCCACACCAAGTGTGAAGTATGCTCAGTGCTTACAGGCCCCCTGGGTGAGTCTTCCGTCTGTGCCTTTGTACATGCCCTTCCTGCTGTCTAGAATGCTCTTTTGCTCCTTACTCACCTGGCAACTCCTACTCATCCTTTTAGACCTAATTCAAGCTGGAGTTGGTTGCACAGGTCTGTAATGCCAGCACTTAGGAGATGAGGCAGGAGGATTGCTTCAAGTTTGAGGACCAGCCTGGGCCAGGGCTAAGCTGATTTGTTTGGCCCCAGCCTGGAATGTCAGGAAAACTTTTTACCAAGAGCTGGGGGCTCCAGGCTCTGTGCTGAGTCCTGATGGAACTCATTTATTCCTTGGGGGTAATCTTATAAATTGGGTTCTGATGTCTTTCCCATTTCCCACAAGAGGAAACTCAGACCCAGAGTAAGTGTCTTAAGGGCCTACTAAACAATTGGTAGTAGAGTCAAGGTCTACCCTGGACCCAGCTGGCTCTAATCAACCCCTTAGGCTCAGTTTCTTCACATGGAAAATGGGATGGTAGCTGTTCTTCAGCTCTTTCAGGCTTACTGAGTAATGCAAATGTGAGGGAGAGCAAAACTGAGGGGTTGTGTCTCCCTTATGAATGGGGTAATGATTTGTTTAGGATAAAAACTTTTCTGGGAGTACAGCTGAGAAATTGAGACTCCAAGAGCCCAAGGCCCCAATTCACCTTTCTCCCTAGGGTTTGTCTGGAGCCTGGGGCCAATTCAGCAACCTTTCCCTTTCCTGGGCCCACTGCCAGCCCTTCCTGCTTCCCCCCACTGCCCCAGTCCCCTGGAAGACAATGGTGGGCAGGCAGGTCCTTTGTGAAAGGGGTCAGGACAGTTAATCTGGGGCTGGGTTAGGGGGAGGCATGTTGAGGACTGGGATGGGAATGGGGGCTGCCTGTGGCAGAAGAGAAACAGTGGTTTGGAGAGACCAGAGGACGTTGGAGGCAGGGGGCCTGAGAAGTAAAAGCTTGAAACAGGCTTTGGGGAGCATTTCCTCTGAATGTAGATTTGAGTTCCTATTAAACTTGCCAAAAATTTGTGTTAGCTAATGGATTCTTAATTCTGTCTAAAATGAGAGAGGGAAGATTATGCCATTCATCTTGTATTGGTTTGAAATTACATCTGACACCTAATCGATCATACTGTGGAACATTAACTCTTTGGAAGAGACCCAACTTTTTCTCTCTCCCTTGCTTTCCAGGGCTCTGGAGCCACCCCCACTCCTGATTCCTTCTTTTGTATTTCATTAACTAAGCAAAGCTCTGACTGTCTCTGGGGTACAGGCTGGGGGAGGGTTCTTTTGAATCAAGGGAGATAATCAGGTCCCCCAATCCTTCGTCCTTAGGAGCCCCCACTTCCAACCTTCAAGTGACCTCGTCTGGCCCTGCTTTCCTCATGCATTCTGAGACAAGAAAATGCAGAATGGAAGGCACTGGGGTGGGGGTGACCTTAGAGCCACCTTGGGGGCACCAGGGAGAGGCAGGGAGCCAGGCAAAGATGAGCTGGCATGTGGGGCTGGGGCAGAGGCCATGGCAGGGGGCTCACCTGCGACTTGCCTGGCAGATGGGTGAGGAGGAATAGGGCAGATGACAATAGATTTGCCTCTGGGGATCCTGATGAGCTCAAATTAAAAACCCCAAACCCAGATCTGCTTTCCAGGAAGACTTTCTGGCAGCAAGAAGCCACCACTGGAGGCCACCAGGCCTGGGCCAGGATCCTGGCTGCACTCCTGACAAGCTATGTGACCTTGGGCAAGTTACATAATGTTCTGAGTCTCAGTTTCCTTCTTAGAACTGAATGACAAAATGATAGCACAGGGCTGGGGTGGGAACTAGATGACACAGTCCATGTAAAACTGGGAAGAGCCCATCACCTGGCACACAGTAGGTGCCCAATAAAGGTGACAAGTGAGAAGCCAGATCTTCATTCCCTTCCTCTGCTTCTACTGCTTCCCCATTCTTCCTCCTCATTCCTATCCAACTTGTTTGCATTCTCAGCTCAAACTCTTGGCAGACTCCATCTTTCCTTGCCCCGTCAAGGTGTGCTGGATAGCTTTAGTGTCAACTTGACACACCTGGGTTGAGGGAGCCTCAATTGGGGAATTTCCTCTATTGGACTGGCCTGTGGCCATTTCTGAGGGCATCTTCTTGATGAGTAATGTGGGAGGGCCCAGCCCACTGTGGGTGGTGCCACCCCTGGGCAGGTGGGCCTATGTTGCATAAGACAGCAGGCTGAGCAGGGGCCAAGAGAGCAAGCCAGTAAGCAGCATTCCTCCATGGCCTGTGCTCCAGCTCCTGCTTCCAGGTTCCTGCCCTGAGTTCCTACCTTGGGCTCCCTGATGAACTGTGACCTGGGAGATGTAAACTGAATAAACCCTTTCCTCCCCAAATTGGTATTGGTCAGAGTATTTTGTCATACCAATGAAGAAACAAACCAGGACACAAGGGCAGATCAAGGTCAAGAGAAGCTATAAGATCAGGAAGGCCAGGAGAGCTGGCCAGTGCTTCCTCATAAGAGGGTACCTGAAGGAGGCTGCTCCCTTCTTTCCCAGAGCTCCTGTTTCCTCAGGGGTTGTTTCCTGCATGCAGACCTCTTTCAGCATCCCCTGCTGGGAAGGGAAAGTGGGATCTCAAGAAAAGGGTTTTCTAGGAGGTGAGCCCAGCAGGAAGGGATACTCCAATTGGGACAAAGCCACTTGCTTTTAAAACTTAGGCACCTCTGAGACCTCTGTCTGTGGATTCCAAGGCTTCTGTCCCCAGTCTAGAGAATACATTGGATTCTTCAAGAGCAAGGGGGAAGCTCCATAGTGAAGTGCTAGCTGTGCAAGGGGCTTGGTAAAAGTCCTAGGAATGCAAAGAAAAAAATGAGTTGGGACACAGGGAAACAGGTGGAGGTAGGAGGGGACAGGGCCATCAATCCCATTCATGTTTCCCAGAAGGTTCCATGACGTCTCCCTTAGCTTTGCTTTGGACATGAGGAATGAAGTTCCAGGGCCCTCCAGTTCCTCATGAAGCTGGGTCAGAAAAGAACTGTAGTGTACAGCTGGTCTCTGAGCTGGACAGCAAGGGGAGCATGATGCTTCTTTTGTGGAAATTCAGGTAACCTCTGAATCAGGGTCTCAAAAAGCACCCATTACTCATGTGAATGAACATGTAGGCAAAGGGCCAGGCTGATTTAGACAACCAGTTTAAGGCCATATGAGGAACCATGAGTGCCTGTCAGGTATCTGTTCCAAGGGACAGATAGAAAATGGTAGAAAAGAATGGCTTGGGGCTGGAGAGATGGCTCAGTGGTTAAGAACACTTGTTGTTCTTGCAGAAGACCCAGGTTCAAATCCCAGCACCCACATGGCAGCTAACAACTGTTAGTAACTCCAGTTCCAGGGAATCTGACAGCTTCTTCTGTCCTCTGCAGGCATTGCAGGACACAGGTGCACTTACCCACATGCAGCAATACATGCATACACATGAAATAAAAACAATAAAATATTTTTAAAAAAGAATGGCTTAGAATGCCCCAACTGGTATTCATAGGGCCTTCAAAGGAGTCCCAGTGTAGGAACTTGAATGCTTGGAAAATCTTACCTGGTACCATCATTTTGCAAAGTTGGAAACCAATACTCAGAAAAGGAGGTAAAATAGGCCAGGGTCACAAATGAGACAGAGAAACTAAGAACTTCTCAACCCACCTGCATCAACTCTCAGCCCCCCTGCATCAGGAATCTGAAGGGACATTTTTCTAGGTCACTTTTCAGTCCTAGAAGAGCCTACATGGGGATTGAATTTTGGGAGACAGTGAGAGAGCTGCTGAGAGGCTTTCTCTGAGAAGAGCAGAGGGCTCTGGGGAAATTCAGCTTCCTCTCTCCCCCAATACTGACACAAATGTACAAAGGCAGGAATTTTATTTCCCAAATGTTCCTTCGGTGGGGCACTCACTGTTTCCCAGGAGACGCCTGGTGATGCCTCTTCCTGCCAGTTTCCCTGGCAGCCACTAGGCGGCCATGGCTTCCTTTTCTGCCTGAAGACTCCACACAGAGAATCTCACATGGTTTGTATTAACAGGAAGTAGTGCTAAGGGCTGGAGGGGTTTGGGGCAGGTCCTGTGTGTGTGTATAGACCAGTCAGGCCAGTTGGAGACTGAGGCAGGTGCACATGGGGCTGCATGGGTCCAGGGCAGGTGGGCAGGACTAGATACATATACTGCCCTACCTCTGGTTCTCAGAGTGGAGAAAAAAATCCTCTCTGGCATATTTTTTCCCAAATGTTAAATTTTTTCTCCCTTGAACATAAAAGTATTGCAAGATTGTTGTAAAAGTAGGTAATCCCAATAAAAGAGAATGAACATGAGTCCCAGACTCAAATTTTATGGTCTGTTTCCCTCCTCTCTCCATAGGAAAATAATCACCTTCTGGCTGCAAAGTCCAGGTTTAAGAGCACTTCCAGGCAGGCGTGATGGTGCACCCCTTTAATCACAGAACTTGGGAACCAGAAGCAGGCAGATCTTTGTGAGTTCAAGGCTAGCCTGACTTACATAGTAAGTTCCAAGATAGCAAGGGCTACATAGTGAGACCCTTTCTCAAAAAAACCAAACCAAACAAAGCAAAACAAAAACAAAGTACTTTGAGGAGGGAGGGGAAAGTATCCTAACATTGTAGACTGTTTTAGAATCTAGAGTTCCTTCTACAGCAAATGCCCCTGTAATTAGAGAGACTGCTATGCATCTGGCTGGCCCATAGAAGCTCCGTGGTTTCAGAATGGAACTCTTCCTCCCCCATGGGTGCCCATTCCCACACTCTTACCTGCTTGCTCTGTGTGATCTCCCAGTAAATATGGGCTGGAAGAATGAATGTGAGACAGGCCCAGACACAGACATCAAGTTGCAAAGTGACCTCAATCATGTTCACCAACAAAACTCACAGCTCTGGAGAAAACTGTCTCAAATATCCCACAAATTCCCTCTTTCCCAGGGCAAATGGGGGTGAAATGTTGGAGTTACTCAGAAGAGGCAAGCCCATATAGGGAAATTCCCAAGTCGGCCCTCTGATAGGACAAGGCTGAGGCACTAGGGGGAGATTGTCAGGGCTTGTAGGCAGGCATCACAGAGGAAGGGATATGAGTGAAAGTCTTGATGTGAGGAAAGAGGGAGGGAGGGGAAGGAGGGGTCTGGGGGGAGAGAGGGGAGGGGGGGAGTGAGGAGGGGGCAGAGGAGGGGAGAGGGGGGAGAGAGGAGGCGGGAGGGGAGAGAGGGGAGAGAAGGAAGAGAAGGGGGACAGAGAGAATTTTTCTATTCTGACAAGGGGGGCAGTGTTGGAGTGTTGGGTGGAAGGTTCTCGGCAACATCAAGAGAGAATTAAACCTATGGAGGAGACTCACCTCCCTCAAGGGATCTACCCCCAAACAGCATTGGGATGGGGGCCAGCTCCTTGGCTCCCTTTCTTCTTTCTGGTGAACTTACTAAAGGTCCTACCACCAACATGTTACAAATTATTCCTTTTTTTTTTGGTCTTTTTGAGACAGGATCTCTCTGTAGCCCCAGCTGTCCTGGAGTCACTATGTAGACCAGGCTGGCCTTGAACTCACAGAGATCCGTCTGCTTCTGCCTCCTGAGTGCTGGGATTAAAGGCATGCGCCACCAAATTATTCCATTTAACTACTGATAAATGGGAGGTTAATCCCATTGTACAGACAAATAAACCATGACTAAGAAAAAGTTACTTGCCCAGGTCAGAGGCCAAGTGGCAGATCAAAAGCACTTCACTTTTAGGCCTGGCCCTGCAAATGCTTTCCACCAAGGTTCCTACCCTTGGTAGGGATGAAGGTATCCCCTAATTCTGAAGACCCGTCTTCTTGCTCAGAGTCCCTGGCCGCCCTGTGTTGTTCAGGCATTGATCTTACCCCTGCTTCCCCCGAGAATAGAGTGCCCAGGGAGGTTGGTGTTAAGGCACATGTCGCTCAGCCTTGGCCAGGTGACCAGTACTTCTCAAAGATGTCACCGTCCCCACTTTGCAAGGGCTTGCTTTTCTCTCGAAGTTATCTATCAGTCCATCACTGTGCTCCTTCCCTCCTCTGATCCCCATCACATCCTTCAGAAAAACGGCGCAAAAACTTGCTGAAGGCGGGTTCCCAGGGCAGCAGCACTGAGCCAGAGCACTTTGCTCCTTCTTGGGGTGCTCCCACTCCGCCCTATTTGGCCAGCCGCCGCAGGGTACCAAGGGCCGGCAGCCTGGCAGCCCCAGGAGTTGCTGGGTCGAAGGCCCGAATTGGCCCCGCAGATGCCGCCCCCCGCCCTTGGCCGGGGCCCCCACGGTGTCGGGGAGCAGGAGGAATCAATCAGGATAATGAAGCCACAGCCTGCCACGCACCGCGGGGGCACTGAGGAGCGGGGGCCGGTGCCAAGTGCGCCAGACGGTTCGGAGGAGCAGAGCCGACGTGGCCCGGCGGCGGCGGCAACCCAGCGCCCGCGCGCGGTTGTCCGGACGCTGCTCCGCGCAGGCCCCTGGCAACGGCGCCTTAGCAACCGGAGACGCCCGGGAAAATTCTTAAAGTTGCAGTGCCTTCTTGGTTCCCCACCTCTGCGATGGCAGAGATAGGAGGTTTGGTGGTGGGTGTCAGAACTTGAGGATCTGACTCACACCTTCACTCGCTTATTTATCAAATGTACATGGTTTAGACACCACATAAAGTGGTGTGGAGTGGACGGGCGACAATTAAAAAACGAGCAAGATCCTGCCACGAGGAGTTCACAGAGTAGCGCACAAGGCAGACCAGACTGGCTGAGGTGAGCAGGAGTTTGTTATCCAGAAGGAAGGGGCTTTGGCTGGAGGGCCGAAGAAGCGGGACAGAAATATTCCTGTAGTACCTGCCTTGCTTCATAGTGGCTGGATCCTTTTAATTTTGGGAGCTACCTTATTATCCCCGCAACAGTGCTTTGAGATGGGCATTCTTATCGTTACCATTATCCATTCCATTTTAAAGATGAAGAATTAGAGGCCCAGACTTAGCCAAAAATCTTGCCTTGGAGAATTCAGGACTAGGTCATAGGCTATCTGACTCCGGCCAGCTTTTATTGTGCTTATTATCTGAAAGTTTAGAACTGCGAATGCTCAACAGAAATCATGTAATAAGTGACCAAGAAGAAAGGGTAGCTGAGGGAAGACAATCTCATCCTGTCCCTGCCTTTGTGAGCTGGACTCGATGTGGGCACAGGGCTATATGAGGTGCCCTCCAGATGTCCCTCTGGTTCCATGATTTGATATCTGAAGTCCAGGCACTGTGCCACCATTCTGGGCAGGAGTTGTTGGCAGGGGACTGCAAACTGGGGGGATTCCAGGCTTCTGAGAAAAGGGGTCAGGGTTGGTGGAGGAGGATTAGAGGGGTGGTTAAGGCAGCTTGGCAAAAGAAAGCCTGAGTTTACATTACTAGGAAGGCTGGGCTTCATCTTTCCCTCTCCTGCTCACCTTTCTTTTTCTTCATGTCCATTCAACCAAGAAATCTGTGCCAGGCCTGGGGTACAAGCAGAGGATGTTGGTGACACAAAACGCATGCTAGCTCTGGAATCAAGTTCTTCTGGCTTCTCCCTGAGCCTCAGTTACCTCAGCTCTAGATATAGGTATTACTATCTACTATTCAGGTTTGTGAGACTTAAGCAGGGTGAGAAAAAAATACATGTACCATGTTTGGCACAGCATGGATACTTAATAAGTGGTAAATTTAAAAACACCCTTGCTTATTTTGGTAGTCTTATTATATTATACTTCTAAAGATATGTCCATGTAACCCCCAGACTCTATGAATGTTACCTTATCTGGAAACAAGGTCTTCACAGATATGATTGCATTAAGTCTTGAGGTGGGGGAAGTTATTCTGAGTCATTTGGATGACCTTGAAATATCACTACAGATATTTGAGGCTGGAGGCTCTAAAATTTATGCCAGCCCAGGCAACTTAAGAGAGAACCTGTCTCAAAATAAAGAGACTGGCAATGTAGTTCAGTAGTATAGTCCTTGCATGAGACCCTGGGCTCAATCCCCAGGTAAGGGTGGAGGGCTATTACATAAAGACTATTTACATAGATGATGTGAAGATGGAGGTGGCCTCTAGAAGCTAAAGGAAGTGGAGTAGATTCTCCTATAGCCCTCCAGAAATTGATGATGAATCCCTGATCTTCAGGAATGTGAGAAAATAAATTTTTGTTGTAAGCCACCAAAGTTGTAGTGATTTGTCATAGTAGTCTTGAGAAGCTGATAAACTTAATGCTGGAGATTGGGTCTTGAACAGAGCCCAGGCATTCCTGATCTACTAGGAAAGGACAGAAACATACAGTGTAGGGCACTCAGAAGAGACACACCTTGCCAGAATTAGGAGGTAGAAAGGTGGGTAAGGCTGTTGGTTAAGTTTAGCTAGGTAAAAGACTAAAATAGGAAGGACATTCCAGGTAGAAGAGGCAGGGGGGTGAGACACAAAATTACCTTTAGGAAATTGCCTACATTTGGGATGGCAGTATGTGAGGGAGGCATGCGATAACTAGGTGGGTAGCAGGGGCAAGAAAGCCAAGGCCCTTGGCTTCCACCCAAGGATGGAATCAACCCTTCCGCTTGTGTTGGCATCAGGCCTTAGATCAAAGAACCAGATTGTCAACATTAGAAAGAAATCTCTGACACCATCCAATATAATCTTCCCATTTCACACATAGGGAAATTGAGGCCTACAGAAAGGAAATTGAGCTCATGCAGAGCTGGATAACAAACCAGACCCACATGGCCACACTGCATCTGAATGTCCCATGTCTTGAGGCCTTATATAGATGCTGCTTGGAGCTTCCTTTGCATTCACTTCCAAAAGGCACAAGCCCTGTAGTCTCTAAACAAAGAATATGCTATTTGCATTTTGCTTGCATACTGTCAATTAGATGAGAAGCAGATTCATTCAGCTCCTCCCATTCACATTCTATCTCGCTCACATTGAGTTGTTCATGTACTGTTTTGATGGTACCCAGGATGGCTTAGAATTCACTGTGTAGACAAGGCTAGACTACATCTTACAGAGATCCACCTGCTTCTGCCTCCTGAGTGCTGGGATTAAAGGCATGTGTCACTATGTCTGGCTTCCTCATGTATTTCTTCACCTCAATACCTTCTGTCCAAGCTCCAGCTCAGGCCTCACTTCTCAAGGTCCCTCACCTAACTCCAGCCCAATTCTTGCTATGTTTGGTCCTGCCTAGAAAAGTTGCCTGGTGGTTTTTAGCATACTCTTGAGGATACTGAAACAACTTACAATGGAATGGGAGATTTCCAGCTTGAAGTCCCCTCCAGGAATGGGGAACAGTGAATTCTGTTTCCCTATATCCCAGAAGCCATCTGAGTAGGGCTATGGGAATGGAACAGGAGGGTGTTCCTTAGGGATCTGGTGGGCAGATACCAGCTGCATGCCCCAGGCCTGCTTCAAGCACCTTGGCTGACAGCCACACTAGCTCTTGGAGGAGCCGGTTCCTTCTTCAAAGGAGAAATCTTGAAGGTCTGGGAGCATCTCTTGCTTGTCAGCCTAGGGTCAGGTTGAGGTCATCAAGTGATTTACTATGGAACTTCCAATTGGACTACATATCTAGATTCCTGAGGCTGCCATCACCTAGAAAATTGTGAAGCCTGTGCTAAAGCAAGCATGGTATCTTAAGGGTATGTACTCAATACTTTCTGATAATGAGGGGCTACCTGCCTCTCTTACCTCCACAGACCCTCTTCTTTTTGAAATAAAGGCTGGGCCCAGCACCCCTCCCAGATGATATGCCAGAGCCTGTCATCTGGTGGTCACCAGAGAAGCCACCATACTGTGGCCAAGACAGGTGCACAGGATGACCTCAGATTCCCCCTGCTCCCATCTTGGCAGAAGAGCTGTAGGGTTCCATCACTACAGCTGACTCGAGGTAGCTCCCAGGAACTGGGAATTAGGATACA